TAGCCACAGCAAGTAGGACAACGCACGATACACGGTAAGGAAGAAAATAAAAATTTACGGAGTTTCTGGACTGGTTCAGTTTTTCTGGCCAGGATAACAGGACATCAAGGGTAGTAAGATGACTAAGGCGATCCTCACTGCCTCAAACCCAAGTCAAGGGGCAGGGTCTACATCATACTTTCAAAGCAGCTGCAGGGTTGGCCTTCAATTGGTCTATCCCCACCGGTGGTTTTTTATTCCTTCTCTTTTATGGATACAGAGTATGAATAAACATTTATTGCCATGCAACACCTCATATCCTTTCAGCTCAAGACTTGGTGCGTTTTTGTCCACTTTGCCTTCAGTCACAAAACTCTGAGTGGGTTGCTGATGCCAGATCACTAGGAGCTCTGCCAAGACAGGGGCTTCTAAGCACTTCCCTCAAGTTCTAGGATCCTCACACTGTTCTGGGTATAGAATCAGGAGAGTTTGTGTGATACCACCTGAAGACAACTACCCAGCATCCAGAACAGAGCTGATATACAGGCTCCTTCTTCCTCCTGCTCCTGACAGTGTGCCCCAGAGCCTTCAGATCCATCCCAAAGAGAGCAAACGCCTCCCCCTGGAGGACTGCGATCATTTCTTATGGGGTATGGGGTGGGGGTTTCCCTGATGATGATGGGGACAAGGGCTACAAGATGTTTTGCCAACACTCATTTTTGTGAATTTGACTTACGATATCAAATCCCTCCTATTGATCATGTTCAGGGTCTCATCAGTTCTTGTTTCCTGAACCCAATGACTCCCCCCCCCCCCCCCCCCCCCCCCCCCCCCGCCGCCCCGCAAAAGGTGGTAACTCTGGGGGATGGAGTTCATGAATAGTTAACTCATTCACTCTTATTAACTGACCATCTACTTGTGGTCCCCCAACAGCTTTGTCTATAGGACTAAAATGTCCTCTTAAACCTCCATGAAAAGGTGGTCATGTATTTGGGGGCAATTATTAAAACACTTCTAGTAGTAAACCACCCGACTGAAAGATCCCCTTGGAAGGATGCCTCATTGAATGGGTTTTAAAAGTATCTGTGGGCTCAGAGATCTAGAACAGTCAACACACAGTTACTGACAGACTACCATGTGATCCGTTTCTTTAGGGAAAAGATGTCACCTCTCTAGAAGTTCATATAAGGTAGAAAAGTAGGAGACTAATGTCAAAGACTAATACCTACACCATTTTCCACTCCACTCCAATGTTACCCCTCCCTGACTCCCTTCCTTTTTTTAACTTCAAATAGAAGTGGGTGATTGTAGGGGGCAACTGGAAGGCTCGGTTGGTTAAGCACCTGATTCTTGATTGTGGCTCAGGTCATGATCTCACGGTTTGTGGGTTCGAACCCCACATCAGGCTCTACACTAACAGTGTGGAGCCTGCTTGGGATTCTCTCTCTTCCTCTCTCTCTGCCCCTCTCCTGCTCATACTCTCTCTTGCTCTCAAAATAAATAAATAAACTTAAATTTATAAAAAGAAGTGGGTGATTATAGATATCAAAGCAGGAAACCTTGGGTGTCAAAATCTGCCACTGTCCTTGGCTCTGTGGGCCTCAGTATACCGCATATGGAGAATGGGGAAAAGGATACTACAGTTTCTAATAAGAATGCTTTAGGTCTCTTTGTTGGCTTTAGGAATAGATAGCTGAGCAGGTCTGGGAAACTGAGGGCTGTGTTTAAGCTGGGGCTGCAATTCCAGGACACTGGACCAAGAGCAGGCTGAGGCCAGTGAAAGCTTTGAGGGCCCAGCAGTATCCGGAAGTCACTCTTTTTTTGAAGAATCAGGAATCATTGCAAAGGACTCTTCCAAATCCCGTCCTGCCTCTTAGACAAGCGATTTATCAGTATCGGTGGGTAGGCAACCTTCTACAACAAAAGGCAACTTTCCTGCCTGGACGGCAGGGGGGCCGAGACCAGCAAGCATTTCCAGAGACATTCCCGGGGCAACTGACAGCACTTCAAGCCACAGCTGACAGGTTACTACTGCTCCTTGTAGCTCGGGGGTCATGGGGAGCTGGCATTTGAAGCTCCTTTTGCGAGTGAGAGGCAGAGGTGAGCTGGCAGGTTT